CAGGCTCACCTTCCCCAGCTAAGCCAACCGGCCCGCCCCTGCAGTCCAAAGGAAAGGGGCACGGCATGCCTTTGAAACGACTATCCCCCAAGAAGCTGGGGTTTGTGCCGGCTTCCTCCATTGTTCAAAAGACTGCTGCAGTGAAAGCAAGTGCTGAACCCAAGCTGGAGGGCTACTGGAGGTCATGCTGCCTAAATCGGGATGTTTGCCCTTTGCCGTCGCAAACCTTAAGTCAATCTGTTCCTGCTTTGCAGGGTGCGACGCTATCTTCGGAACGATTCGAAGGGCGAGGCCAAATGTTCCAAGGAGATGTTGGAGCTGGGGAACACTCCGGATGGTCGTTGCTGAACTGCATGCAATTTTAAGTCTCGCGCGTCTTTATGTGGGTAGGCTGCAATGTGTCCTACATATGCAGCGCAGATGTGCTTCGAATCATCATCATTCATCACCATCAGATCACCATGCAATGGTGAAAACCACGTATAATTATAGAGAGAACTGTTCATACCTCAGGTGAGAAGATTCGGCAGCTGTTGGTGGAGAAAGGAAGCTTTGACAAGGTGGAGCTTGTTGTCAAGCAGTGGCAGGAGAGGAAGAAGACGGAAGAGGTCGCAGGAGGCTATGTCACCAAGAAGTGGTTGATGGACAACAAGTCATACACACAGTATCTTGAATGCACAAGCATGTGTAGCTAGCTATATTCTATCTGCATCATCTCAACACCTGTAGATGTGTTGTCACGTTAGGACAATGGCTGACAATGCCTTCAAGTGGGCAGCCCCTCGCGGCAGATGCCGCAAGAATATCATCACAGGAGAGGAGGAAGCGGACATTCCCCTTGATGAGAAGTGGCAGGTCAAGAAGGAGCAAGGCCAGCGTCTGGAGTTCGAGACCGGATGCGAAATGGATGTGTCTTGCTTTCACTGATCATCACGCATGTAGCCAGCTAGCTTTTACCATGTGTGCAAAAGACGAAAAGGAGAAAGAGAGAGAGGGAGACAAAGAGATGCAGAGAGAGTGGGAGATGTGAACGACACAGAACACACACTAGAATACACGCATGGCTCATGTACATTCACTCACTCGTTCGCTCACCCAGGATCCGAATGGCAGCCTGCTTGAAGAGACGGGCTTCTCTGGTGAGGATCATCTCCAGGATTTCGCAGGCAGCTCTGAGGCTCTGCCTGCGGTGTCAGTCGCGGCTGCACAAGCCGGGGCTTCCTTCAAGTCCCTAATCTGAAATCCCAGGAGCACTTCGTGTAAGCTGCCCTTGAAAACCCCCTAAAGTTCGTCTAAGGTTGTGCTTCCCGGCACTGCAGCAGAATGTCTCACCGGCCTCCATACTCCCCAGCTTTCTTACTGTGCTTGGACGAAAGCTAGACAATGGTGAGGAGGCCAAGGACTCCACGTGTGTATAGGTCTTTGATATCATTCAGGGCTGTGGTTTTGGGGTTTTCTAAGGTCTATAGGTGAAGTCTGGCCTTAGTCTATACATATTTCTACTTTCAGCTAGGTCTACACATGGGTAGTTGTCAAAACTCTAGTACCGGTACCTATATTTTGTGTACTCGAAATTTATAGGCACTGTACTATAACAAGGAACGAAGAGGGGACCATGTTTTGACAACCACCCATGTGAGAACCGTTTATACACTATACATACCACAACTTATATCTAACAGTATGTACTTGATAACTATTGTGCTATATAAGTTAATGTCATATAGACATCTATCTATGTATACATATATGTTGTTTATATTATATGCATATACATGTACCTTAGCAGCAGGGTTTGGACTGCATCGCAGGACAAGTGTCTTGCTCTGAAGACGGCCAGGTCGGAGTCGTCACTTGTAAGCAACTAGGTTATGTACACAATGAACGACGCGCAATTGTAGGAGAAGACCTCTGGCCTGTTCTACCTAGGATTGCGAACGACATGACGAAGTCCCTGGAAAGCCTCCAAAAGATCTATGATGAACTGCTGAAGAAGCAGGCTTTGGCAGCAACTGCCACGACGGAAGACGAGCTAACCAAGATGACTGGCTGAAGTACCACAGGATGTTTAGAATGTTTGAAGACGTTGATCTGGAGTCCCTGCAACAGAAACCTCTAAGGATCGAGGCCGAGATCGTCTCCAATTATGTGGCTGCGACCAAGGAAGACCTAGCCTTCAACAATTTTCTCCAACGATCTAAGCAACCAGGCTTCAATTACTGGAGACTCCCAACCTACCCCATGCTGCTTCCTGCTCAGGAGCCTGAAGGGCAAGAGTACCGCGACACCCGCGCCAGCTTCCAAACACAAAGGTGCGATCCGCCCGAAAGCTAAAGGTAAAGCTGCAAACAAGGCTGGTGATGCTGAAGAGGGCAAAACCAAGCCGACCCCGAAACGAGGGGCCAGCAAAGCTGCTCCCAAGAAGGGTGGAAAGAAACCCAGCAAAGCTGCTCCCAAGAAGGGTGGAAAGAAACCCCGAGCCAGCTGATGCTGCTTTGGGTAGATGTGGATCATAGTGTGTTGCCAAGGCATGCTTTAGCTGCTATTGCTAGTGTGTGCGCCAAATTACTTACCGTGTGTGTTGCCTAGCCATGTACACATGTTACAAAGACGGGTATGTGCATCAAGTGTGCATATCATGCAAGCACATGCCAAGGCTCACTGCTTCCAGCGACCACATGTGGTGCGTAGTGCCACTGTGCGTTAATTAGTCATGTGGGGCTAGCCGACTGCAGAGTGGCTCTCGAAAAAGGCGGTCCTTCTTCGTGCGAGGGTCTATACGGCTATACGTCGTACCGGGATGCTGACTTGTACACCATGCGCAGGTACTGGAACCATGGATTGGGCTTATGGTGCCTTGTCTATATATGGCCCACTGCTCCTCAAAACCTGGCACTTAAAATCAAACACGTGTACTATATGTAGTCTGTACTATCCGCTATACCGGCAAAGCCTTAATTAATATTGCAACGAAACCCAATGACAACTCTAGCTGCTATCCTGTACCACCCTTCACCCCTTATGAACCCTAGTTGAACCCTAAACCCCTACGACAGGAGACCTCGTCTGGCTTACATAATTAGATCCGAGTTGTGGACTATATATCCCAGACAGGAATTCTGCAAGACATGCACATATCGATGATCATATTACCTAGCCCCTAAACCCCGTAAACCCCCTAAACCCTATCTTGTAAAGAAGCCCATACTTGCCTGCTCCAACAGGCAAGCCCGAAGAGTCGGAGTCATCATCGGATGACCTGTTCGACGAGCTGCTTGAAGGGATCAGTGGTGGTGCTCCTTGTCGAAATACGTTTCGACAAGTACTGCAATGTTCGTTTCGTAAGCTTTTGGAACTAGCCAAGGTCGACTCTTGTGCAAGAGTTACTCGTCTTGCCAGCAAAGCTGAAAAGAAGCTACGTCGAGCAGGTGTGCATTTCAAATTAACATAGGACCACATGTACCGTCTATAGAATCTTGAACCGAGTGTTGCAATCGCTATCTTGTGAAGGTGGACGGGACCCGATGTTGGAACGACTGGCCCGGTGTGCACGGGGTGGGAAAGGCAATGCTTGCCGCAATCTTCACCGAATGCTGGCCGATGACAAGCTGTCACTACCTGTGTCTGTCTCCATAATCGATGTTCCGATTAAAGAATTGAAACATAGACGAGAACGAGTTGTCGGCTGGCCGGTGCTCCGGTTGTCGAGTTGGGCCCGGTGTGCTCTGGCTCGCGGTGGGGAAATGTTACTTGCTGGACACTGCTTAGAAGATGAGCATGCTTGGCGAGCAGAACTGCGAGGATTTTGGGCCAAGTATTCCTGCATAGATGGTGGACATCCACTCTTCTCCAGTGAAATAGACCCTTCTTGTACAGTACCCTTTATGGTGCATGGTGATGAAGGGCGAGGACGAAACAAACAACCTCTGTTATCGGTTTCGTTTCAAGGGGTTCTGTCCCACTACGGAAGCCATCGAGTGAACATGTCAGGGTTCCCCAGCTGCACTTCCGAGTACATAGCACGGTTGTTACACAAGTTGGCCGATGACACAGTCTGATACATTCCTGGCTTCCAGCTGTACTATCTGAGGCACTCATTCTGCAGCCGACTGCTGTATGCTTGCTTCCCAGCGCAGTGCTATGCCGAGGACGATGCGAGCGTCTACGCACTACTAGATGATTTGTCGGTGGACTGCTTGTCTCTGTTCCAGTCTGGGCTAGAAGAACCTGGGCATTATATGATAGGACAATCCCCAACCCATATATATATATATATATATATATATAACCCTAAGCCCTAAACTCACATAAGTTCCGCATTGAAGGGCTATCATTGACCTGTGGCCCAAACCCCCAACCGTGCCTGAATAACATACTCAGGTGATATGGTGCTATACGTAGAAGTATATGTTGATGGCGCCCGAAACTCTGAACCCTGAAATCCTACTAGCTGCTAAAGGTGCCTCCGCATCGGGTTTCTGATGATGTTACTGAATTGATAGTGGCCCCTAGGTTGAATTTCTGGACAAGACCTACAAGATCCATTTTGCTTATCTGGGGTGCAAAGGTGATTGGCCTTGGTTGCGGAAAGCCTGTGCTCTAGAGCCTGGGTGGAGCTCGAAGCGTCTGTGCTTTTTGTGCGAGCAAGAGGCTGGGCTTTAAGGTATGTCCTCGATCTAACCCTATTATAATAGGTATATATATATATATAATATTATATATTATGTAATTAATATGTATATATAATATAATTAATAGACCTCGTTGATCCCTTATAGGCTTGGTATGATCTTACTGCAGCTTCAGCTCTGCGAACAACCTGGACACCAGAAAATCCTGGAGCACACCCGTGGATGCCTCACGCTTACAGCCCTCTTCGAAACATACCCGGTGGGGACAACTGGCTCCGAATACGGATCGATCCAGCACATACCTATGCAATTCAAGGGTGGGGATCCACCCTGGCAACCTCATCCTTGATACTGGTTTGTCATCTAGGAATGGCAGAAGGAAGATCTATCAACCGCCGCCTCGACTACTTGCTTAGGTCTTTCAAGCACTGGTGCAGCAACAACGGCAAAACCACCAGCCTGAACTGCATCACGCTGGAGAAGTTAAAGATGAAGTCGATGCCAGACCTGATTACAGTTTGTTTGGGATACATATTCTAAATCTACATAGGGGCTTGTAAACGACTCGGTAAGGCATCGAGGGTGTGTCAGGTAGAAGCTTAATTAATTCCCGATGTTTTAATTGTTCTAGTGCCTCAATTTCACATTTCCCAACCCTGAGTTTTGTGAGATATTGTATGCGATCCGGGTGCTTCCATGAGTCGGAGTCAGAGAAGCTGTGTTTTTGGTTATGAAGTTCTGCCTTCAATCTGTCTAATTATCTATTCTACACATCTACA